TGATCTTGAATGCCATGTGATCAGTCATCCTCAGCTTCTTTCCTATGCCATTTGCACAATGCTAAATGTATCATGTGTGATCATGAACCATAATAAATCCTTTCTTTCTTAAGTTGCCTTTGTTGGGGGTATTTTGTCACAGCAGGAGGAAAAGTAACTGATATCATTGTAATGATGATTTGGAAACTACTTAAACATCACTGAATATGAATGGTAACATATTTTAATGCATCTTAATACTGGAGTGCTATATAGTCAAGAAACAAATGTCAAGCTTTCTGTCTACTAATGTAAATTGAGCATAAAGCTTTCTTATAAAATAAAGTCAAAACATAGTAGTGTGATTGTTATTGAAAGTCTACTATTCCATATAATTGCCCAGGAACATAGACCAAATACCTTCAGGAAGACTAATGAAAGACCTGATCCTTTGGCTTTGTCTAAGGAAAACAAATTGCAATCAAAAGTTGAAGAGACACATGCATTACATTATGTATCCAGACTTATAGGTTTCATGAAGAATACTGAGACAACAATATATTTATATTTTTAAAGAGTGATAAGCTAAAATTCATTATTACGTAATGACATTTCTGTGCCTAGAAATGGCAGAAGATTTCAACCACTAAGATGAGAATTTGAGTGCCAGGAAGCACGATGTTGGTATCATTTTTCATAATTTTTTTATTTAAATTTCTATGCATATCACTTTCAGTTCCCTCTCCCTCCCCTCCTCCCCCACCCCCAGTCCTCCCAACCCCCTCATCCCCTCTCCATCCCCCCTCTACTCCCCAGGGAGGGCAAGAGCCTCCGTGAGGGATTTCCAGAGTCCATCACATCATCCCAGAAATGGCCCAGGTTCTTCCCCACGTGTCCAGGCTGAGAGAGCATCCCTCCACGTGAAATGGGTTCCCAGAGTCCTTCTGTATGCCAGGAATAAATACTGCTCCACTCTCCAAGGTCCCACAGATTGCCAAGGCCTCCTCTCTTTCACCCAGGTTCAGTGGGAGGGTGTCTGATCAGTCCCATGCTTTTTTCCTAAACTTCCTTCACAGCATCCTTTTATGTATATATGTATGTATGTATGTATGTATGTATGTATGTATGTATGTATCTATCTGTTTGTTTGTTTATCTATTTTGGTTTCTGCAGTTACTTTACATTATATACACCTAAAGAAGAACTAAAGAAATTAACGACTTCTCAGAATTCAATGAAAATGAAGACACAACATACCCAAAGTTGTGAGACACTTTGAAAGCAGTAGTAAGAGGAATGTTCATAGCACTAAGTGCTCATATGAAGTAACTGGAGAATAGTCACACTAGAGAATTAATAGCACAACTGAAAGCTATGGAACAAAAGGAAGCACAGTCACCCAGGAGGAGTAGACACCAGGAAATAATCAAATTGAGGGCTGAAATCAATAAAGCAGAAACTAGGAAAACAATACAAAGAATCAATGTAACAAAGAGTTGGTTCTTTGAGAAAATCATCAAGATAGACAAAACTTTATCCAAACTTATGAAACTGCAGAGTGTGAATATGCAAATTAACAAAATCAGGAATGAAAAGGGTGACATAACAATGGACACTGACTTAAGAAATCCAGAGAATCTTCAGGTCATACTTTGAAATCCTGTACTCTACAAAATTCAAAAATTTGAAGGAAATGGATAATTTTCTGGATAGATATCACTTACCAAAATTAAATCAAGAACACAAAGCAATCTAAACAGACCTGCAACCCCTAATGAAATAGAAGCAGTCATCAAAAGTTTCCCAACCAAAAAAGAAAAGCCCATGTCCAGATAGCTTCAGTGCAGAATTATACAAGAAATTAAAGAAGAGCTAATTCCAAAAATCCTCAAAGTGTTCCACACAATAGAAGCAAGAGGTTCATTGCCAAACTCTTTTTACGAGGCTACAATTACCTTGGTACCCAAGCCATACAAAGACACAAATAAGAAAGAGAACTACAGACCAATATCCCTCAAGAACATTGATGCAAAAATCCTCAATAAAATACTAGAAAATCAAATCCAAGAACACATTAGAAAAAGCATCCACCATGATCAAGTAGGCTTCATCCCAGGGATACAGGGATGGTTTAACATATGAAAATGAATCAATGTAAACCATATAAACAAACTGCAAAAGAAAAATCATATGATCATCTCTTGATGCTGAAAAAGCCTTTGAAAAATACAACACCCCTTCATGATAAAGGTCTTGGAGAGATCTGGGATAACAGGGAAATACTTAAACATAATAAAAGCTATATACAGTAAACCAACAGACAACATCAAACTAAATGGACAGAAACTCAATGCAATTCCTTTAAAATCAGGAACAAAACAAGGCTGTCCACTCTCTGCATACCTTTTCAACATGGTACTTGAAGTTCTAGCCATTGCCATACAACAACAAAGGGGGATCAAGGGGATACAAATTGGGAAGGAAGACGTCTAACTTTTTGCAGATGATATGATAGTTTACATCAATGACCCAAAGAACTCTACCAGGGAACTCTTACAGCTGATTAACACCTTCAGAAAATTGGCAGGCTACAATATCAACTCAAGAAAATCAGTAGCCCTACTATATACAGATGATAAAAGGGCTGAAAAAGAAATCAGAGAAACATCACCCTTTACAATTGCCACAAACAACATAAGATACCTTGGGGTAATGCTAACCAAACAAGTGAAAGACCTGTATCGCAAGAACTTTGAATCTTTAAAGAAAGAAATTAAAGAAGCCCTCAGAAAATGGAAAGATCTCCCATGCTCTTGGATAGGAAGGATCAATGTTGTAAAAATGGCAATCCTGCCAAAAGCAATCTACAGATTCAATGCAATCCCCATTAAAATCCCAGCAAAATTCTTCACAGACCTTGAAAGAACAATAATCAATTTTGTATGGAAAAACAAAAGACCCAGGATAGCCAAAACAACCCTGTTCAACAAGGCAACGTCCGGAGGCATCACCACCCCTGACTTCAAGCTCTATTATAGTGCTATAGTCCTGAAAACATCTTGGTATTGGCACAAAAATAGACAGGTAGACCAATGGAATTGAATTGAAAACCCTGATATTAACCCACACACGTATGAACATCTGATCTTTGACAAAGAAGCTAAAAATATACAATGGAATAAAGAAAGCATCTTCAACAAATGGTGCTGGCATAACTGGAGGCTGGCATGTAGAAGAATGCGGATCGATCCATGTTTATTGCCATGCACAAAACTTAAGTCCAAATGGATCAAAGACCTCAACATAAATCCAGCCACACTGAATCTCTTAGAAGAGAAAGTGGGTGGTACAATTGAACAAATTGTACAGGAGACAGCTTCCTGAACATAACACCAGTAGCACAGACAGTGAGATCAACAATTAATAAATGGGACCTCCTGAAACTGAGAAGCTTCTGTAAGGCAAAGGACACAGTCAGCAAGACAAAAAGGCAGCCCACAGAATGGGAAAAAATTCACTAATCCCACATCTGACAGAGGGCTGATGTCCAAAATTTACAAAGAACTCAAGAAGCAAGTCTCCAAAACACAAAAGGATCCAATTAAAAAGTGGGCTACAGAACTAAATAGAGAATTTTCAATAGAGGAGTCTAAAATGGCTGAGAGGCACTTGTTCAACATCCTTAGCCATCCAGGAAATGCAAATCAAAACAACTCTGAGATACCATATCACTCCTGTCAGAAAGGCTAAAATCAAAAACACCAATGACAATTTATGCTGGAGAGGATGTGGTGAAAGGGGACCACTCCTCCATTGCTGGTGGGAATGCCAACTTGTTCAGCCACTTTGGAAATCAGTATGGAGATTCCTCAGAAAAATGGGAATAAACCTACCAGAAGACCCAGCCACTCTACTCTTAGGCATATATCCAAAAGATGTCCATTCATAAAACAAGGATGTCTGTTCCACTATGTTCATAGCAGCATTATTTGTAATAGCCAGAACTTGGAAGCAACCTAGATGCCCCTCAACCGAAGAGTGGATAGAGAAAATGTGGTATATTTACACAATGGAGTACTTACTATTCAGCAGAAAAAAACAATGGAATCCTGAAATTTGCAGGCAAATGGATGACACTAGAAGAAACCATCCTGAGTGAGGTAACACAGTCACAAAAAGAGAAACATGGCACGTACTCTCTTATATATGGGTTTTAGACATACATCTGGGGAGTGCCAGCCTACAATCCCATGGCCTGAGATTCTGTGAAACAGAAACTTCATTCAGTGGCTGATGGAAGAAGAGGCACACTCCCATGGCTAAGCACTGAGCTGAACTCAAGAAAGCCAGTAACAGAGAGCGAGGACTGATGACCAAAGGGGTTAAGACTGGACTGGTTTAACCCCCAGAAACATCTGACCTAACAAGGGTTAGCTCTTGAATCCCAGGCTGATGCCTGGGAATCCAGCATGGAACTGATCAAGACCCCCTGAATAGGTATGTCAGTGAGGAGGCCTAGGTAATCTATTGAGCCTTGGGCAGTAGATCAGTATTTATCCCGAGTATACAAATGGGCTTTCGATTCCCATCCAACAATGTGAGATGCACTCTCACCCTGAACTCTTGGGAGAGGGTCTAGGCCCTGCCCTGGATAAAATTACAGACTATGGACACCCCCAAGGAGGGCCTTACCCTCCCTGGGGAAATGAGGGGATATTGGGGGGGTTGGAGGGAGGGCACGGGCCTAGGGGAGGGAAATGGAGAGGGACCTGGAACCGACTTGTGAAGCAAACTTGTTTCTCATTTAAATTTAAAAATAAATAATAATAATAAAAATAATAACATTAATTTGAGCCTAGTATTCTTTTACTTATAATTTAGTGTGTTGCATTTGTAAACTTTAAAAGAAATAGTCATTCCTGGATTGCAGTATAATAGGAAAAAACTCAATCAGATAATTTACACAAAATTTAATATTTATAAAAATATTTTTAAAATTTGACAATTCCATATATATTATGTTTTGGCCATTCTCATCCCTTCCCACCTTTCTTATCTCCCTTTCAAAACTTCAAATATCCCTCTTCATGAGTCCCTATCTCACATTCACATCTAGGAATTATCTTGTGACCCACTGAGTTTAAGCAGAGGTGCCTGTGTGACCCTGGCTTTAGAGCAAGCCTAGCTGTCTCTCCTGTGAGTGTAAGTGTGAAAGTAGAGACTGCCTGTTTTCCATAATCTATTAGTAGTAATATTTCATCCGAAGGGAGTATTGTCCCATTGAGTCCCTCCCCAACCCTTGCTGTGCTGATGAGAGACCCTATCTTGTGCATCTTCTAGTAGATGTTGTGAGACAGACCATGGTTGCAACGACTGTGTGTCATGTCCACAATATGGCATTTCCAGTCTTTCTTCTCATCTTTTGGTCTCTGTACTGCTGTAACTCTCTTCCATAGAGCTCTAAGCTTTAGAGAGGGTAGCATAGGTGTCCTGTTTAGGATGAAGCACTCAAGTGTCACTTATTCCAGTACCTTGAGCAGTCGTGAGTCTCTGCACTCATCACAGTTCATTACATGGGAATCTCTTCTGGGTAATGCTGGCTGTAGCATTTGTCCTTGATTATAAGTATTAGAGTTTAGAATAGTTTGGAATCACTTCTCTTTAAGCAACTGTTGAAACATCCTCCAATCAATCCTAAGAACTTCTACTTTTTTCTGTTTTAATAACTGAATATATGTAATTGATAAGAGGATAATCATTATACAAGCTAAAGCCACGTGATTCTGCCAGAAGCCCCATGGTGAGAGATCAATGCCCTGGATCATCAAGAATTCTTCACCAGTACATCTGCAATTCAACACAAACAAAATAATGTCAAAGCTCATTCAGCACATTCACTTCCTTCTAAAATCTCATAGTTTCAACACATCATTAAAATTTCTTCTTTACATTTGAGAGCAGTAATGATGAAGTATCTATTTTGTTATATATTATGAAATCTACAGTGATTGAATCAGGTCCCTATGTTAATTTCAAAAACCATCCAAAGAGGTGTAGTTGTCACATCTATTTAGAAGCATAGAAGAAGTAGGCTTAGTAAACTTGGGCAAGTTTACAGAGTCATACTGAGATCCAGCTTTGTAGTCTTCACTGTCTTTGATGTCATTTATTTCTCAATCTATAAAGCTGCTCTCTCTTCAAAGGACAAATGCATGAATGAAGCTCTTGTTTCTCCTGAAGGGAAAACCTCAGCTTCCTAATGGCACACACAGACATGCTAAGATATCAAAGATTTGTGCAGTTCAGTTGACTCAGTAGAGTCATGCAAAAGAAAACAGCATCAAAATCTAGATGGAGGGCTAGAGGAGAATAAGGGTTTCTGCCAGTTCCTGTACTAAGTCCTGTGCATTTGTCAATAAAGCACTGCCTGGCCAATAGGGAATCTAGATAGGAGGGACTAGGAGTCCAGAAGGACTCTGGGTAAGAGAAACACAAGATTCGAGATGTAACCGCCATGGGGTAGGAAGCCCGGAACAATTCTCCGGTAAGAAAAATACTTAGATTAACAATTATGGGGTAATTACTTAAGTCAGAGCTAGCCAGTAAGAAACAAGCAAGGCCAACAGCTTCATAATGAATATAGCCTCCTTTGTGCTTATTTGGGACTGATGCGGCTATAGAACCACGCTGGCGGGAAGGCTTCTCTCAAAGAAAAAGCTTCCTTTTACAATAACCACATATGGTCAGCTATGGAGCATCCCCAGCAACCCATGTCTACAGACAGAGCCTGGGCAGTGGTTGGAGCACAGGAGGATGCAGAAGCCCTGACACTGGATAGAAAAGAATTTTTGCTAAAAATTCTGGATGCACTACAATTATCTCCTATTTATCTTCATCCCCGTTTATATCCATCCTCTGTGTGTCTCCATCCTTGTGTGTCTCCATCTCTGTGTTTCTACATTCCTCTGTGTCTCCATTCCTGTGTCTGGATTCCTGTTTACATACATGTCTATGTGTATCCTCCCTGTGTGTCTCCATCCTTTGTATCTCTTTGGATTTAACAGTTCCCAGATTTGGTGAAAGGGCAGATTTGTTCCTCCTGTGAGATGAGATGGGTGGCTGACCCTCATATGGTTTCACTTTACCTATCCTTATCCTTCTGACAAGAAACTGGTAAGGAATTTGTATTAGAAGGATGCCAGACAGCACCAGCAGAGAGGAGATATGGGAAATAAGATATTCCCTATATGCATGTTTTCTTATTAGTAATTCAAACATTGATTTGGGTTACTATGGTTCATTATTATTTTGAACATCCATGAGAGATTAACATATCAGCATGTACTTTTCTCATTGACACATCAAAGTCAAATCAATGAGATTAATCATAGAAAGGGATGTATTGTAATGTTAAAACAATACACTTTAATTGTATTATAAAACTGTTTCTGTTTTAATGGAATTAGACAAAAATTAAATTTCCTTCTCTCTGAAATACATGCTTTTTTGATTGCAGGACATATCCTGTGGTAGAACATTTTACACACACACACACACACACACACACACACACACACACACACACACACATACTGGCCTTTGCTTTCTTGAAGTCTCCCAGAGAGTGAGGCAGAGGGAAGACACTGGAATCTCACAGGCATAGCTCAGCCCTTGCTGCCCTTGCTGCCCTTACTTTCTTGGGCTCTGCTCACAGGAACCATAATCTACACATGTGCAAACTGTGTGCCCTGTGAACTCTCAGAGCAGCCCATGTCAGACTCAAATGTTCTGAATCAAGGAACTCAAATCTACAATCAAGATACCAAAACCAATTTTAAAAGACCCAAAGAACCCTTTCTGCACATTGTCTACACCACAGAGCAGTAGGATGGAAACACAGCTCATTTGCATTGATTACAATGACTCACTGTGGGGAATGGGCAGAGGATAGAGTTTTAATCATGAATGGATGGGTTCCCCCTCAAAGTCTAGGCATATGCCATGTCCCCATTGTGATACTAAACTACAGCTTACATGACATATCTCTGACAGCTACTGATTTCTGTTCTATTGTGTTCTGGACAGAATCTTTTTCCGAAGAATTCATTTTGTAGCAAAGCCTGTAAAGTAAACAAAAACAGTGAATGACAAATAGTTTAATATTTTATACATTTCCAATTTCAAATTCAATCTTGACTATAATTTACAAAATATTTTTAAACAAACAAAACCCCAAGTTCAGTCTGCCGAACAAAGCAGTGTCCCTTCCCCACTCAGGAGGCTTAGGATTGAAATGAAGGAGCTTCCTTGTAGAAGAAACTGAGACTAGCCTAGGGAAGCACAGTAGACCTGCCTATGGTGCCCAGGCCAGCCTACTTGAGCATAGGCAGCAGGCACCTCCTCCCTGAGCCAAGTCTGCCTCTTTGCCCAGAGACTGCTGACAGAGAGACACCTGACCCAGAGACACCAATGAGGAAAGGACAAATGAGAAGAGTCAGCAGCCTTAGTCAATGGCACCTTGGGAGGGGTATAAAAGCAGATGTAGCTTCCTTCGTAAAGGAATCTGCATCAAGCTCTGCTACTCACTGACTCTTAGTGCCTGAGCCATTGGTTCTGCCTCTTCTCATGCCCCTCCCCCAAGGGGAGTTCAAGCTGGGTAACTAACCTGCAATACTTCCCAACTACCAGGCGGTGGATTCTAACTAGAGTGCTTCAGGTACCTTCTTCTCTGCTCTTTCCACAACCATATAAACACTGTAATTGAAAAAATACCATTGACTCATAGGAACAATATTTCTTGCTTGTTTTTTCAGAAGAAGTTGTGATTATGGGAGTAAGAAAGTCTTGTTAAGACATACTTTATGGCAGAGAAAACTTAACAAAACCAGTATGACTGTGGGAATCACATGGTTTATATTTCTTTTAGTTTCCTGATGTAAACTATATATACTAGCCCCCAATCCTTCCATTATTACCTTATTGGGTAGAATCAAACTGTATGCTTTTCATAATATCAACTATCTTTCCTTTTACCCTGGGATTTTTCCACTATTTATTTCCCTCAAATAACAAAGACTAGGAAAAACACAAGATGAATCGCTGGCCTTTGTCTAAAACCAACAGGAAAGTTCTCATCTTTGCTTCTAAAAGGAAAATCCTGGGCAAGAGCTGCTTAGAGATTACAGTTGGGAAAAGGACTTGGTTGTGAATCATTTCAGTTGCTATAGTTGGAGAACCCAAGTACAGTGACAGAGAGGACAACTTACTGTAAATCCATAATGAGGAATGCTAAAGTACTGAATACTTGAAATCCCAGGTAGTAAGATTCCTGAATATATTTCCAGACCTGAGAAAAACTGGGAGGAGCAAAACCACGAATTAGAACTAGTCCAGTGACTAAGACTTCTAGACATGATCCTCCTCTTCAAGATGTCTTCATCCTTCTGACCATTTCTGCTCATACCAGTTCTTTTAATTTTTTTCAGTTAACTCTAAACAGAAACAGAATTCTTGCCTCTGCAAATCCAAGGGTATTTTTGGTTTTTCAAAGTTGATACTGCCACCCCTGTGCAGAAGCCAAACCTACAGAAATTGCATTGTCTTTAAAGTGGTATGCAACCTATGAACATTCTTTTAACTTTAAATACATCCATCCTACATATTTAAAATTCTCTTTAGGTTCCTTATAATATCTAATTTATATAGCTGTATAGTTTATACTGCATAATTCAGGGGATGGTGATATTCAGAGCAGAATAATCATTTGTTTCATATATTTTCAAGATGTAATTGGTTGGGTCCTTGACAATATGACAGACCAACTGTAATGACTATTCTAATAAAACTGCTTCCATCTAGAAACACATGCTAGAAGAAAACTGTCTTGACTCCCCTTATATCAACTTGACATAAGCTAAATTTGCTGTAGTGTAGGGAACCTCTAGAATTCTGTCTTGGTAAACCCTCCAGAGTATGCAGACACTGCAGACTTAGACCCACCTCCACCCACCGGGAGAAAGCCTTGGATCCATACCTACTGGGAGAGAGAGAGACCCCACCTGCACCCACTGGAAGAAGAGATGGGAAGATGACAGTATAAGAACACAGTCAACAACAGAAAGTCCAATACGACGCTACCAGAGTCTAGGAATTCTATACTAGTAAGACCTGAATATCCCAACACTGATGGAGCAGAAGGGAATGACCTTAAAAAACAACTTATGAAGATGATAGAGACCCTCAAAGAGAAAATGAGAAAATCCCTTAAAGAGTTGGAAGATAAAACAAACAAAAATGCAACAAATGGAGGAACAGACAAAAAATGCAAGAAATAAACAAATCTCTTAAAGAAAGCAAGGAAAGCCAAGAAAAAAAAACAATCAAACAAGCGAAGGAAACAATTCAAGTAGTTCAAGGCTTGAAAGCGGAAATACAGACAACAAAGAAAACACAGACTGAGGGAATGCTGGGAATAGAAAAGCTGGGCAAATAATCAGGTACTACATATACAAGCATAATCAAGAGATACTACATATACAAGCATAATACAAGAGATGGCATACAGAATCTCAGGTGTTGAAGATATACTAGAGGAAATAGATTAATCGACCAAATAAAATCTTAAGTCCAACAAATTCCTAATACAAAATATCCAGGAAATATGGGCCACTGTGAAAAGATCAAACCTAAGAATAATAGGTATATAAGAAGGTGAAGAAACTCCACTCAAAGGTGCAGAAAACATACCCAACAAAATCATAGAAGAAAACTTTTTCAACCTAAAGTAGGACGCCTATGAAAGTACAAGAAGATTACAAACACCAAGTAGACTGCATCACAAAACAGTCCCCTTGCCACATAATAATCAAAACACAAAACGTGCAGAATAAAGAAAGAATATTAAGAGCAGTAAAGGAAAAAGGACAAGTAACATATAAAGGCAGACCTATCAGAATTACACCTGACTTTTTCCTGGAAACTCTGAAAGCCAGAAGGTCCTGGATAGATATTCTACAAATACTAAGAGACCACAGACTACAGCCTAGACTATTATACCCAGCAAAACATTCAATCACTATAGAGAGAAAAAATAAGATATTACGTGATAAAACCAGGTTTAAATAATACATACCTGTTGGGCCTAAGAAAGGCTCAGATGTGAGGCCCAGTGTAAGCTCCTGAGCCTGACTTGATGAGAGGCCCAGTGTAAGATCCTGAGCCTGGCTAGAGTTTGGTGATCTGTCTCTAACCTGTAACCTCCATGTGGGGTGACTCAGCCAGACTGCCCTCTGCCTAGCTACCTGCCTGCATGGTGGAATACTATTGGCCCTTACTCCTCAAATAAACTTACCCTATCCTATGTTCCCTATTCCTTACCTCAGCCCTATATAAGTTCCTCCCTGTTGGAATAAATTGAAACCCACTTTGACAGACTCCGGACTCAGTGTGTGTTTTTTCTCCCTGGTAACTAATGGGGGGAGGGTCTGAGTCCTGGACACTCACCATCCTGCTCAGCCCCTGGGAAGAGACCAGCTGGACTGGCCCTTCCCCTGCTCTACCTGCAGAAAGGACCCTGCACATCCCCACAAATTAAGCTCTGCAGAAAGTACTGGAAGGAAAACTACAACTCAAGGAATTAAACTATATGCACAAAAACATAGACAATAGATAATCCCACATTACCAAAAGCTAACAGACAACCAACCAACCACAACTAACAAATCCAAACCAAACAAATATCAATGGTCATCTGTATCCCTCAATATCAATGGTTTTAATATGCCTATAAAAAGACACAAGCTAACAGAATGGATACGAAGACAGAATCCATCCTTCTGCTGCATACAAGAAACACATCTCAACTTCAAAGACTTGTTACCTCAGAGTAAAGGGCTGGGAAAAGATTTTCTAACCAAATGGACTTAGGAAACAAGCTGGTATAGCTATCAGAATATTTAACAAATAAAACTTCAAACTAAAATTAATCAAAAGAGATGAAGAAGGGCATTTCATATTCATCACAGGAAAAATCCATCAGAATGAAGTTTCAATTCTAAACTTTTATTCCCCACCAAAAAGGGCACCCACATTCATAAGAGAAACGTTACTCAAACTCAAATCACCCAGAAAACCCCACACACTTATTGTGGGAGACTTCAACACCCCACTCTCATCACTGGACAGGACTATCACACAGAAACTTAACAAAGAAACAAAGGAAATAACAGAAATTATCACCCAATTGAGCACAACAGACATTTATAGAACATTTCATCCAAACACAAAATAATTTACTTTCTTCTCAGCAACACATGGAACCTTCTCTAAAATTGACCACACACTTGGCAACAAAGCAAACCTCAACAGATACAAAAAAATTCTTCACAGACCTTGAAAGAACAATAATCAATTTCATATGGACAACCAAAAAATCAAGGATAGCCCAAACAACCCTGTAAAATACAGAAATTTCTGGGGGGGGGTCACCATCCCTGACTTCATACTCTAGTATAGAGCTATAGTAATGAAAACAGCTTGGTATTGGAACAAAAACAGACAGGTAGACCAATGGAATCAAATTGAAAACTCTGACATTAATCCAAACATCTAAGCTAAAATTATAAAATGGAAAAAAGAAAACCTCTTCAACAAATGCTAGATGCTGACATGTAGAAGACTGCAGATAGATCCGTATCTATCCCCATGCACAAAATTTAAGTCCAAATGGATCAAAGACTTCAACATAAATTTAGTCACATTGAACCTCTTAGATGAGAAAGTGGGAAGTACCCTTGAACAAATTGGTACAGGAAACTGCTTCATGAACATGACATCAGTAGCACAGACACTGTGATCAACTATTAATAAATGACACCTCCTGAAACTGAGAAGCAATTGTAAGGCAAAGAGTACAGTCAGCAAGACAAAACAGCAGCCCATAGAATGGGAAAAGACATTCACCAACCCCACATCTGACAGAGGGCTGATTTCCAAAATTTACAAAGAACTCAAGAAACTAGTCACCAACAAATGAAGTAATCCAATTAAAAATATGGGGTACAGAACTAATTAGAGAATTCTCTATTGAAGAATATAAAATGGCTGAAAGACACTTAAGACATTGCTCAGCATCCTCAGCTATAGGGTAATGCAAATCAAAACAACTCTGAGATACCATCTTATACCTGTCAGAAAAGCTAAAATCAAAAACACCAATGACAGTTTATGCTGGAGAGGATTAGAGAAATGGGAATATCTTCCACTGCTGGTGGGAGTACAAACTTGCGCAGCCACTTTGGAAATTAGTATGGCAGTTTCTCAGGCAAAATAGAATCAGTTTACCTCAAGACCAGCAATTCCACTCTTAGCCATATTCCCAAAGAATGCATAATCATGCCACAAGGACATATGTTCATGTATGTTTATAGCAGCATTATTTGTAATAACCAGAACCTGGAAGCAACCTAGATGCTCCTCAACTGAAGAGTGGATAGAGAAAATGTGGTACATTTATACAATGGAGTACTACTCAGTGGAAAAAAAAAACAATGAAATCTTGAAATTTGCAGGCAAATGGATAAAACTAGAAGAAACCATCCTGAGTGTGGTAACCCAGACACAGAAAGACAGACATGGTATGCATTCACTCATACATGGATATTAGATACAGAGCAAAGGATTACCAGCCTACAATTCATACTTCCAGAGAAACTAGGAAACAGGGGGCCCCTAAGAGAGACATAAATGTTCCCTCAAAGAAGGGGAAAGGGCAAGATCTCCTGAGCAAATTGGGCACAAGGGGAAGAAAGAGAGGGAGGTTGGAGAAAGATGAGGGGTGTAGAGAGAAAACTTTTCCTTGTCAGCCGCTTTGGTTTCTCCCCACCAATCGCCTGGGCTCTGCCATGTTGTAGTCCCCAAATAACACACAAGATGCTGTATTAATTATGAAGCTGTTGGCCTTGTTTGTTTCTTACTGGATAGCTCTGACTTAAGTATTTACTCCGTAATTGTTAATCTTAAGTATTTCTCTTACCGGAGAAAGGTCCGGACTTCTTACCCCTATGGCGGTTACATCTTGACTCCTGTGTTTCTCCTACCCATAGTCCTCCTGGACTCCTAGTCCCACCTATCTTGCTTCCCTATTGGCCAACAGTCATTTATTGACATATACACAGGACTTCCCCATCAGAGGGGAGAAGGTGAAGGGGAGGAGAACATGAGGGCTCAGGAAGATCAAATCAAGGGAAGAATAGAGAAGGAGAACAAGAAAAGAGATACCTTAATAAAGGGAACCATTATAGGTTTAAAGAGAAATCTGGCACTAGGGAAATGCTTACAGATCAAGGATGACCCCAAC